TGTGCTGTTGAACTCATCCGGGAATTTGCAGGCCTTCCTCACATGCTCACCCAAAATGGCGGGTATAGCGGATACTTCATTCCTGCGGGAACATTGGTCGTCGGGAACACTTGGTAAGCACATCCTATACCAAGTCTTGTACAAATAATCTGACCGGTAACTCAGGGCAATTCTCCATGACCCAGAAACATTTCCTGAACCAATGCGCTTCAATCCCGATCGTTTCATGGACGCCGGCACTGACGGACAGCAATTCTCTCCCATGGACCAACCATGGACCCCCTCTCCTCGGCATTTGGATACGGACGCCGGATTTGTCCTGGACGCTATGTGGCCGAGGCCCAAGTCTGGCTCTCGGTTGCGTGCATGCTTAGCGTCTTTCACATTGGTCCTGGAGTTGAGAGCACGGGAAGCCCGATCAAGACCACTCCAGCCTTTTCCTCAGGTTTGATTTGGTACGTGCTCTGTGGTCGTTTGGCCCTGGAAAAGGAAATTAAAATGCGGATTGTAGTCACCCACTTCCTTTTGATTTCTCGATAACGCCGAGGGGTGATTATGTCAAGACTTTATTGGAAGAGAGCAAACTTGAACATTAGATTTTTTACTAGACGACGTTCTAAATCTTGTCCCCTCATGGGATTTTCTCCTCTTGGGTATCTTATTTTGTACCATACTTATTGCGCGTACTTAATGTCCTACTTCGTTATCTATGTACTTGTACATGTATAAAGGACCAACGGAGGTACGCTTGACCCCTTAGAATACATCCGACTTGATCGGTGGCTGTGCCATTTTTTGCTTGACTTCACCACTTGATAAGAGTGCCCAGTGCCTCCTACCGTCCAGGGAATGACGCAGAATCTTAAGAGAAAGAAGGAAAACCAATTGGCGTCCCGAAAGGTGCATCCTTATCGAATCTTTTTGCCGCAGTAGAACTGAAATATGACTTGAAAGACGCGAAAAGTCGAGGAGGAGCCCGACGATGAAACTGCCTTGAACGTCGAAGAATTTGGCGGGAACTCGGGCGCAGAAGATGGGCTTTCAGATTACGGGGAAATGGTAGAAGACGATGCTGAGGTAGAGTGGGGAGGGGTTACGGGTGGCCAGGC